AGTTGATACTGTGAAATCTCTAACTATACATAAATTATCTTAGATAATTGGATCCTAAAACTATGTTTTGCCAAAAACCAGATGGCCTTTAGAGAAATACAAATTGGCCCAAACTTTATAATGAGGCAATGTTCATTTTTTGGGTGTGGGTGGGGTCAGAGAGGCATTAGATCTATTTCCTCAATTAATGTTAAGTAAAGTTATATACATTTGGGATCATACCTAATTATGAAATGACAGAATCTTAAAACTAGGCTGAGAGACGAACATTGACAGAGGGAGAAGAACATGCACCCATGAGGATGGCACTCATTGTTTGATTCAAAGTCTAAAGAGCAAGAGATGGAAGACAATGGACCATGAGTGCTAAAAGGGTCCCTAGACATGACTTGATCAATTATGTTCTTCTCCATCCAATCCAGGATTCTTCAGAGGGAACAGTACACTTTTCTTTCTCCAGTGCTGTCATAAGATTCTTTTTAATATCACACAAAAAATAAGTGATCCCTTGGGAATCAATGAACTTAGTTTTAACCATAAATTAATGCTTAATTTTTGCAGGGTTTTTTGGACACAAAAGGACCTAATCACACTGTTTTTTGGAGATGGTTGCTGTGCATATGAGACATTTATCACAAAAGCTTAAAGAGACTAAATGATCTTTCCAAGGAGGGAGACACCAGTGCATCTTGGTTCTTTCTGCTGTTGAGATAACTTCTGGCCAGTGGGGAAGGAAAAGAGGTGTATCACTGAAGTAGTTTTGGGGCATCTGCTGCCATAGGCAAATTAACTTGACTCTACTTTCTCATGATAGGAGTTCCTGGATGGTGCAAACAGTTAACATGATTGGCTTGGAGGTTTGAGTCCACCCTGTGGCTCATTGGAAGAAAGGCCTGGTGACCTACTTCCAAACAATCAACCACTGACAACCCTATGGAACACAGTTCTATTCTGACGCTTATAGGTTACCCTGAATCAGAGTTGACTTGACAGTGACTGGTACTGGTTTTCTCATGATGGAAAATGCTTAGACTTTCCTGTCTCTGTCTCCCTCCCTCTTCATTCTACTTGTCCAGGCCTTGCTGATTCCTGGGGTCTTTCCATCTTCAAGGTCTGTCTCAGGTGTGATTCATTTTGTGACGATTCTAACACGTGTGGTATTGTCCATCTGCAAGAGTGAACCATGTGGCCAGGTGAAAACTTTGGTCGTTTCATTTGACAAATGAAAAAGTGGCTCAGGAAACCTCACTCTTGGCACAGCCTCTTTCTACTGAAAGATCAAGATCCTCACAGGCCCACCAGCAGGAGAAGCCAAGCCTGAGGGCAAGTCCACTTCCTGGGCAGCTGAAACTGGTTTGGGAGTGTACAGCCAAAGAAGCTGATTGACTGTGTTTTCAACTCATTCCTTTGGTGTGAAGTAGCTACACCTCTTATTTAAAAGAAAATAGGCTTGCATCTGTGATTCTGAATTTTAGGCATTTGACTTTCTTTGTCAGGAGAGGAAGGCTTCCAAAAGAAGGAATGATGCCCTGGATCAAGCAAGATTTTATTTATTCAGCTCATCTTTTATCACTGCCAAAACTTTATCCACTATTGGTTAAGTAGTCCCTGGGTGGTGCAAACCGTGACTGTGCACCAATATCACCCAAAATTAGTCAAGGTTTTGGTAAGTTAACTTTCAAATTAACTTAAAAGATATGTAGTTCTGAGTATGCATTAATTCTGATAACTGATAATATAACTGATATGCAGTAATTCTGTTTGAGTCTCCCTCCTGCCTCTGCCTCCCACCAACCCACTCCCCAAAAAAATAGTGAAGTGAAAGTCAAAGGAAAAAGGTAAATGCAAAATAAAATAGGATCTTAAGACAAATACATTCTCACTTCCCTGTGGCCCTGAAATGCTTTCTGAGGAATCAATATCTTTCAGGACCAATTCTAAGTGCTAATTCCTGTCCTAAAACTCTGGAACTAACCCTTCAATTCTTTCTGGGTTGGTTTTTGGGACACAAAAGGACCTTGTCATGCTGTTTTGGGGAGACGGTTTGCTGTGCTTAGGACACAGTTATCACCAAATGTCAGAAAAGGCTGAAGAACCTTGAGAAAAATCTCTTTTGGGGGGAAAAAACCTCAGAAGGTAATATTATTATTTTAAAATACTATGATAAATACAGTCTTAAGATTTTATAATTCTAAGTCAGTAGTCAGTTGCATTATTTAATCATCTGCTGTTTAAATAAAAAGCTGTATCTGATTTGAGTACCCACAGGTGCTTTCCTTTTATATGGTTATAATTTAACATTTAGCTTCTTCTAGGAGCTCTGGTAGCATAGTGGCTAAGACACTTGTCTGCTAACCAGACGGCTGGCGGTTCAAACCCACCAGCCACTCCTCGGAAGGAAGGTTGGGCAATCCTACTTCCGTAGTGATACTGCCTCGGAAACCCAAGGAGGGGTCGCTATGAGTCGGGTTTGACTCGATGGCACATAACAACAACAACAACAAAGTGTTTATAATTGATCATATATTGATTACTAGCTCACCGGCTCCTAAATATTGCTATGTGTGTAGAAAACACTCAGCTATATCTTCATTAAAAGCCATTTACATTTATTAAGGCGTAAAAGCAAGTTTGGTTATTTTGTCACCACAGTCAAAACTTCTCAAGAGAATCAAGTAGCCGTCATTTGGAGTGTATTTATAAAATGAGTGTATTCCCACAGAAGGAATAACTGGAAACAACAATATTGATTTGGTTTGGCTTATTTGTTTTTAAGGAATTGCCTATTGCTGAATTCTGACTATCAGTTATCAGTAATATCCCCCTAACTCCTGCTCAAGATGTAGCTGCTCCACCTGGCGCTTCCTTCCATTTTTTTCTGTGTGGGTTGGTTATGCTTCACAGAAGTCTTTCTCAAACAGTGCCACTGTGGGTCACTGGAAAGTAAATTGCCTCTTAGGTCATCACGGCCTGTGCTGGAAGTTGAGGGAAGGATTTCTGAGCGCACAGGATTTCACACTAATTAAAAGGTCTTTGGGATCTTTCAAGCCTTCATCTCCTAGAGGCCAGTTTGGGGCTTTTCCCTACCATAAAAAGGTCTGTTTCCTCACAGTTCCCCTTTCTAAACATCTCAAGGGACAAGGTTTCCATGGAAAGGTTCCTTTAGAGGGGGAAATGAATCAACCCATTCTGATTTTTCAGAGTTTTCAGGCTTACAACATATTCTACTGAGAAGTTTCCTTTTCCTGTCAGCTGAAGGAGAGTTCCCAATTCCGCTCCTCTGTTTTCATCAGTGGGTCACTTTTTTTCTTCAGAGATCCCTGGAGGCAGGTAGGTCCAGGGACTTCTGGGGTTGGAATTTGTTGATATTTCTATAGAAAGGATCCATGCAGTCCTGCCCTTGTGGAGTAATAAACCAAGTCCAGGGGCTTTCCGGCACTCTGGGCCTCACCCTCAAACAACAAGCAACATAGAAGGAAGGATTGTTGAAGGCGAGGGCTTGTGGTGGATGGATTTCCTCACAGGGCGTTCACTGAGAAAGGGAGTTGACGATTAGTTCATTTTTCTTAGTTTTCTTTGCACAGGTCCTCATGCTCAGGCGGGGTAAGCTTTTAAGGAGGTGAAACTCAAGCAGAATGACTTAAGAGAGAATAGTAGCTAAAACTATAGCAGTTGAGCCTAAGGTTGGAAAAATTAATCTAAATGGGTACACATTTTTCTTTGAGTTCAAATCACACGGCTTCCCAGTCAGAAAGGCCCATGGACTTTCTTCCTAAGGTATCCCATGATCATGCCATCTACTGAATGTATCTCTCAGCCATCAGGGGCTACAGCTAAATCAGTGGAGCACTGCTGCCCAAGAGCACCCAGCTAGCAGATCCACATCCTGGAGAATCCTGGGGCAGCTGGAAAAGAAATTTTTGGCCAATTCTTGGTAGTTACATAATAACGTCAGTCCATGACTTAGATCATGAGAGAAAAGATCATTTTAGATTTCCAAGGAATATCAGGCCTCATAAAGAGCCCCTGTATTCACCCAGCCTTCCTTCCACTCCCACTCCCATACTCTTTCTTATGGATAGCAAAAAACACTCATTGATAAATATAGTCAAACCCAAGCATGTGCCCTCCAATGAAACAACTACCACTAAGCAAGGAAACCTCATGGCTGGTAGACCCTATTGGCCTTTTGGCATCGACACTGCTTCCCGTACCTTCCCCTTCCCAATCATCTTAGTTTGAGACCTCATGCCAGTTTCCCTTCCTGGCAAGGTCTTGATGGCATGAAAACTAGAATCAGTGTCTGCCAAGTGCATAGCAGCACTGCAACATGCCTATCACTGCAGCAACTGAGAATGGAGTGTTTGGAGTGATTTTCCAATCTTGTCATCAGTACCCAATGCCAGGAGTGTCAAAAAGTAGTGGCTGAAGGTGTGTTTGCCAGATGTCAAAATCCACAGCCAGCTTGGTCTTCTGCCGTTCACTCCCTCTCTCTCTCCTAGAAGGCAGCAGAAGTTTTTCTAGTAAGAGTGAAGATTGCATTTTTCCTTGGCCATTGGAGGTACTGACAAGGAGGAAGGTGGAAAACAAGGAGGAGGGTGGAAGACAAGGAGGAGGGTGGAAGAGGAGTCAGTGTTGCATTTTTCTAATGTATCTCAGAAGGTACTTTGATATTGCAGAAGGGGCCAGTGACAGTCATTGGAAACGGGTTTTTCAACACTGACCCCAAATACAGTGAATCCATATTGGGCCAGCAGGCTGAATGGGTGACTATCCCTATCATTTCTGCTGATGAGTTCCTTCGTGATGAGGCAGGGTATGGTATTGATCTTCATAAGCAAGCAGGCTAGAGTTCCATTAATGTCAGCAAGATGTGGCCATTATTAAAAAAAAAAAAAAAAAAAAAAATATCCCAGGCATGAGGAAAAGGAGGCTGTGAAGCTGGAGTCCTTTGGAGAGGCTAAGTCCTTCTGAGCAGTGATGGGTCAAGATGGCTATGCTCAGGATCGGCTGAGGCGCTTAGCGACATCTGCATAGGCCATTTCAATCTCATTGTCAGCTGCACAGGTGTTGGTAAACTCATCCCGGGCATAGGCATTCTTGAGGTACCGCCACAGACCTGTCATCTCAGCTGGGATATTGTAGTTACGGTACTTCTTGGACACAATCTAGAACAGAGATGGCCAAACAGAGATAGAATGAATGCACGAAACAGACCATTGAGAAGGTATTAGTGGCAGGACCCAGCATGTGCACTGTAGGAAAGTACTGTGCAAAATGTCTGCAATGCTGCAATGCCAGGTGATGGTACTGCCTTCTTTTTATGTTTCATAAGCAAATATAGGAGTCCCTGGGGCATAGTGGTTAACAAGCTCAGCTGCTAACAGGAAGATCGGTGGTTTGAACCCACCAGCCATTCTGTAGGAGACAGATGTGGCAATGTGCCTCCATAAAGATTATAGTCTTGAAAACCCTATGGGGAAGTTCTACTGTGTCCCATAGGGTTGCTATAAGTTGGAATTTTTTGGTTTGGGGTGACACAATCAGTTAATGTGCTTGACTGTAAGGTTGGAGGTTCAAGTCCACTCAGAGGTACCTTGGAAGAAAGTTCTTACTATCTACTTCCAAAAACTCAAGCCACTGGAAACCCTGTGGAGCATGATTCTATACTGGTACACATGGGATCACCATGAGTTAGAGTCAACTAGATAGCGACTGGTGGTTAATATAATTTACTCTTTGACCACTTCTTTTTATCTTCTCCACTCCTAGGAATTCTTCTTTAGGGTATAATGATGATGTACACAAAGATTTAGCTACACAAATGTGACCATAGGACTATTTTGAATAGCAAAAATGGTATGCAACAATATATGAATGGATAAATATATAATGGTACATAAATACAAAGACACACTGATGAGTCATTAAAAATGATGTTATAGGGAGGGGAGGGAACACTGAAAAAAATGATGTTGTAAAGGAATATTTGGAGGCATAACATACTCTTCAAGGTGTAGATCATTAAGTGTAGAGTGCAGTATTATTATACCTTTGGAGAAATGTGTGCAATGATTAGAAGTATATATACCAATGTATTACCAGTGGTATGTCTGATTTATAGAATTAGAGGTTTTTTTTTTTTTCATTTTTCCTTTATCGACTTTGCTTTACATAAGCATCCTTACTTATATGAGAAAAAAAATCATAACATAAAAGTTAGATGTTTGAATGTATATGTAGATTCAGGGCATGATGTGGGAGTGAACAAATAGTGATTCCTACTCTCTCTATAAGGGGCCCTGACAGTACAGTGGTTAAGTGCTTGGCTGCTAACTGGAAGGTTGGGAGTTCAAACCTACGAGCTGCTCCACTGGAAAATGATGTGGTAGTCTGCTTCTGTAAAGATTACATCCTTGGGAAGCCTGTGAAGAAGTCCTTCTCTGTCCTATAAGGTCACTATGAGTTGAAATTGACTCGATGGCACTGGGCTTGATTTTATTTCTTTTTTTGTTTTTGTTTTTGTTTTATTCTCCCCATGGCATGCTGCATTTGGCTGGGGTAGAGTAGGAGAATTCTGTGGAAGCAGTGTTTATGTTGAGAGAAAGAGTAGCATAATGGTTAAGAACATAGGCTCTAGATCCCAATTGACTGGATTTGCAATCCTGGTCACACCACCTAACATCTGTGTGACCTTGGAAAACCTACTGAACCTCTCTGAGCCCCAATTTCTTTATTGCTAAAACAGAAATAGTAATAGGATCTACCTTGAAGGAGTAAATTAGTTAATACACATAGAGCAGTGTCTGGCACATAGTAAGCGCTCGGTAAGTATTACCTATTGTAACAATGTAAGAGTCAGAAGAGGTCACAGCACTTGTTGAGACCCAGATTCTATCCGGTGCATCCAGTTCCTTCACAGCAAAGCCAGGGTAGGAGGTCCTTCAGGGCAGCATCAGCTACCTGGACGTGGGACCTAACACACAGGGCCTTGTACTCAGAAGCCCCTTCACTGTTGGTATAATGCTCTGCTGTTGTTGCTTTGACAGTCTTAATTTTTTTAACTCACTGCCACGAGTCAATTCTGACTCATAGTGACCCTCTTGAGTTTTCAAGGTGGTAAACCTTTATGGAAGTAGATTGCCCCACCTTCCTTCTGCAGAGCAGCTGGTGGGTTTGAACCGCCAACCTTCTGGTTAGCTGTCAAATGCCTTAGGCACTACACAGTTTGTACTGGAACCTACACAGGAGCTGTTCCTGCCTCTTGCCCTTGGGAGAGGTGAGGGGAGGCGGGGAGTGGGGGGGAGAAAGCAGAGAGTCCTCTCGTGAAGCCCAGACTCCAACTGCTTCCACTGCTTTCTTTCTAGATAGGGCCCCCGCCACTGGCTCTGGGATCTTCCCACTCAGAGAAACCTCGAGATTATCCACTCTGGGCTTTCATCTTTTTCAGTGGTGGCAGCGATGTGGGAGGTCCTAAGAGAGTTGTTTGGAGCAAAAGCATGAGGATGACCTAGTATAGAAAAAGCTCAGTCTTATGAATAGGCCTACATTCCCAAAGGGGATGCATTCTTTTCCCCTCCATGCTCCTACCCCAGTTTTGAACTTCTGTTGCAACACTAAACTATATTCTGTTTTGAATCACAGCCACTGTTTTAGTATCTTTTCTCTCTCCCCTAGCTTATGAGCAGTGTAAGGGCAGGAAAGACAGCGTCTTCATTTCTCCTCTGTTGTAGTTGTTAGTTGCCATCCAGTCACCTTGGACTCATGGCAACCTTATGTATGTTGTTGTTGTTGTTATGTGCCGTCGAGTCGGCCCCGACTCATAGCAACCCCTCCTTGGGTTTCCGAGGCAGTATCACTACGGGGGTAGGATTGCCCAACCTTCCTTCCGAGGAGTGGCTGGTGGGTTTGAACCGCCAGCCTTCTGGTTAGCAGTCAAGTGCCTTAGGCACTATGCTACCAGAGCTCCACCTTATGTATGTATAAAAAATATATTTTTTAAAAAACTAAATTCACTGCCATCTAGTCGATTCTACTCATAGCGACCCCTCCTTGGGTTTCCGAGGCGGTATCTCTATGGAAGTAGATTGCCCAGTCTTCCTTCTGAGGAGTGGCTAGTGGGTTTGAACCACCAGCCTTCTGGTTAACAGTCAAATGCCTTAGGCACTATGCCACCATATAGCAAGAACAAAATGGCACCTGGTCCTGCACCATTTTCATGATTGTTGGTCCATTTGAATCCATTGTTATGGCTATTGTTTCAATCCATCTCATTGAAGATTTCCCTTGTTTTTGTTGGCCCTCTACTTACCCCTTGATAATAGGAATAATAATATTGATAATACCAAACCAAAGCCAAGCTTACTGCCATCAAGTCGATTCCAACTCATAGCAACCCCCATTGGGTTTCCAAGGCTGTAAATCTTTATGGAAGCAGACTGTCCCATCTTTCTTCCACAGAGCAGCTGGTGGGTTCAAACCACTGACCTTGTGGTTAGGCACCAAATGCCTTAACCACTATACCATCAGAGCTTCTTAACCCTGTAAAGAAGAGTCTATTTTATAGATAAGAAATGTAAGGCAAAGGGAGGTTAAACAAGTAGGGATTCAATAAACGTATGTATTTCATCTTTTCCATTCTCAAGTATTCTAACAGCTGACAAAGTGCATCTTGTGCCATATAATTCTAAAGACTGAAGATCCTTACCAATGAGAAAACTGAAGTCATGAGAGATTAAGTGACTTATCCAATGTTACCAGGATTCAGATTAATTCAACCAGTATCTACTGAGTAATCAGTAATATTTATTAAGTCCCAGCCTTCTAATCTATAGTTCTTTCACTTTTTGCCACTCAGCCCTGTGTACATGATAAAGGAATTGGTCTACTCAGAATTCCTTGCATGTCTTTTACTAAGCTTTATTTCTTATCTCCAAGCCTACCCTTTTATTTGCTTGTTTCTGATTCTGGGGTTGGGACTGGGCAAACCACATCTCTGCTTTGCCAGCTACTCCATTAGGCTCTGTCAAGAGGGTACAACAGAGAAAGCCCGCAAGTCTGGAGAAAGAAAAAGGACTTGCACTCTCCTGTCAGATTCCTATTCCTGTCTGTGTCCAGTTTGTTCCAGTAGCATCAACAGAATCCAATTTGCTGTTTTGTCAACACTCACAGAACCAGTTTCATCATAGCTGCTCAGAGAGGCCAGTGCCCAAGCACTCTCTTCAGAGGTCTGGGTCTCAGCCTGTTGGGCCCCTCCATTATGCTCAGGCCCCAACACCAGCTGAGCAGTCCTCTCATCTTAGAAGCCTGAGTTGCAGCTCTGTGGGGGCCCTTTATCTAAGTTTCTACCCATTGCCATTGAGTTGATTCCAACTCATAGCCACCCTATAGGACAGAGAAGAATGGAACCATAAGGTTTCCAAGGCTGTAATCTCTACAGAAGTAGACTGGTGCATCATTTTCCCTTGGAGTGTCTGGAAAGTTCAAACCATCAACCTTTCGGTTAGTAGCCGAGTGCTTAACCATTGTACCACGAGTGCTCCTCTATCTAAGTTTCCGAGTTTTATTAATTGCAATCTCTTCTCTTTGTTCCTCCAACCCAAGGGGTGGTTGTTGCTTTCTGAAGTTGCAACCTCTGTGGTACATTTTGCCTTCCCAAGTCTTCAGTACTTACTTAATAATTTTTATATTAAATTACCTTGGTTAAAATAACTGGTTTGGTGTGGCCACCAAAGAAGCTACCCCACAATTTTCTGTCCAGCTTAAGTGTGACTAATAAGCAAAGGTCAATGAATGAATGCCGAGGCCAACACCTGGCCCTGTTTCTCCTCAGCCTTCCTCTGCTCACTGCCAAGATGGGGGTGCCTTGCATTTGCCCAAAAGGCTTTGAGAAGAGCTGTCTTGGCTAAAGAACAAATCCATTCCAGAGTAGTGCCCTTACCAAGGGATGTTGCCAGAATTTGTCAGTGTGGATGAATAAAGCCCATAGTGAGGTCAAGGCATGCATCCAAAAATATTTTTTACCATTACAAGCTGATTAGATAGAGCAACCTCAAGTCTTTCCATGCTGAATTTTTATTTTCAGGGTTTTAAAAGATATAATATTGGTTCTAAAATATCACAAGTGCAATTTATTAAATCTATTTGTGTTTGTATTTCCCTTCTTGTGTGCAATAAGGGTGAGCATGACCATTCTGCTAAACAAGGGTCCCAACACCAGCTACTAAAGGCCTGCAGATGGCCCTTGCTGCCTAGAGCAGCCATCCTGGGTCTTGGTCATGGTTTCTTCTCACTTTGGTTGTTTTTGGGGAGATGAGAACAAGGAGGGAGTCAGACAATGAAAGTTTAAACTGAGCTCCTAGTGAGTTGCTGGGCAAGAGCAACTTAGTTTCTATGGGTGAAGACGGACCTAAAAGTGAGCCAAGTGGGAGTGAGAGTGAAAAGAGTGAGAGAGAAAGAGAGACAGACACAGCGAGAGGATGTTCACACAAACCTCTGACGTCCACAGGAGCATCCTGCTCATGTTCTGAATTTGTTCTTTCATATGAAAACAGTTAGCTTCCACAGCCCAGATTAAGTTTTGGCATCTGAAGCCAAACTGGAGGCCTGACTTGGCTCCCCCTTGGCTCTTTCTGAACTTCAGAGGTTTGCCAGGTCTCTGGGATCTGATAAGTTGGATCAGCAAAAATCTAAGGAGACATGAGGTGAGGCCTAGCCTTTGTTCCCTTGCAGGTCATCCTGTCTCTGATCCTCAGTTCCTCTGAATGAACCACTTGCTGAACTTCATCCAAGGAGGGGGGTTGACTTAGTCAATTAGGTCTGCAAGGAACTGAAGGAATTAGAGGATGAAACACAGGGCCTGGGAGATCCATTTGTTTACCTCATTCAACAAACAGTTATTCAGGGGATAGTCAGTAAGTATTGAGTAAGAGAGAAGGAAAGAAGGAGGGAAGGAGGAAGTATAAGGAGGCAGAAAGGAATATAATCCACGTCCTTATTTTTTTTAGATATAAGAAAAATGAATCCTGAATCCCAAAGACATGAGGTGACTTGCACTAGATGCTGCTGCTAGTTGGTGACAGATACAGAACTGGAACTTGGGTCTCCTGACTCCTAGAACAGAGCTGTTTTCCTTTACAGTACTCTGATACAGTGGGTCTGAACTGGAAGCTTATCATTCCTAATGATGCCACTTGTTCCTCAGGAAAAGGACAATCAAGGAGGCTTAGAGGAAAGCACACTATGTGGTATTAACTTCAAAGAGACATAGTGCAGCTGGGCCTACAAGCGACCAGTGGATTGGCCCCTAACCTAATAGATTGTATTTGTCCAGCCCATCCACATGGGCATGCATGATCCCTTCCAGTTTCCAGCTCTACTTGAGGACCAGTGCACGTACAGCTAAATAGTTTCAACTCAAGCTTGTGTGTGCTCTGGTTTGAGCAAAGCCTGCATTTCCAGCCCAGGACTTCAGCTGAAAAATGATAGGTGGATATCTCCCTCTTCCAGCCTTGCAGGCTCTCTCTAGCACCCTCTCTTGGCAGAGCTTAACAGGGAGTAGCTGGCAAATCAGAGATGTGGTTCAAACAGTCTCAGCCCCAAAATCACAAAGAAGCAGATAGAAGGGTAGGTTTGGAGATAAGAAACAACAGGCAGATATCTAAGCTTCTCAGCAAAGCTTAGAGGGAAATGGATATCACCAAGACATATGTTATGTGATCAAAGTATCAGTCATTGAGTATTTGTTATAGGGCCAATGTACCCACCATCACTCTTGGGAAAGACACAGAGCTTACTGTCTGATTGAGATTAAGATGTAGGTCTGTGGAAAAGTAACCAGTAATCAGTTGCCATCAAGTCAAGTCTGACTCATGGCAACCCTATATGTGTCAGAATAGAAAGGTACTCTATTGGGTTTCCAATGGCTGGTTTTTCAGAAGGAGATTGCCAGGACCTCCCTCCAAAGCACCCCTGGGTGGGTTTGAACCTCCAATCTTTTGGTTAGCAGCCAGGCCCTGTAATCATTTGTATCATGCTGGAACTCGTGAAAAAAGAAGACAGCAGTATAACTGCTCCACTGCATTTTTGTCTGGGATGGTACATGCTCAGAAAATGATGTGAGAAGAAGAACTACCTTAGGGAATTTAGGGGGATATGAGCATTGTCTCATGTGAGATGAAAGAGCAGATAGTCGATTTGAACCACCAACCTTTTGATTAATAGCTGAGTACTTAACCAATGCACCATGCAGGGTCCTTCAATATGACTGTATTTAATAAAACCCAAAACCAAACCCACTGTTGTTGAGTAGACTCCACGTGTGACAGAGTAGAACTGCTCCATAGGGTTTTCTTGGTTGCACTCTTTATGGAAGCAGATTGTCAGGCCTTTCTTCTGTGGTGCTGAGAGTGGGTTTAAGCTGCTAACCTTTAGGTCAGTAGCCAAGCCACCTAGGGACATTTTAATAATAATGTTGTTGTCGTTGTTGTTGTTATGGGCTGTCGAGTTAGACCCAACTCATAGCGACCCCTCCTTGGGTTTCCGAGGCGGCATCCTACGGAAGTAGATTGCCCAACCTTCATTCCGAGGAGTGGCTGGTGGGTTTGAACTGCCAGCCTTCCAGTTAGCAGTCAAGTGCCTTAGGGACTATGCTGATCCAACTTCAGCTTCTATGGCTTGCTAGTTATAAAGCTTCTCTGAGCTTCAGGTTCTTACCTGTAAAATAAGCATATATTGCCTACTTCTAGGGTTGTGGGAAAAGTAAATACTGTGTGAAAGTGCCTGATGTATTGTAGGGACTCAATATAATAATAGTTAATAATAATAATAATAACAACTAATATTTAATAATAATAATATTAATAATTCAGAAGGAAGATGGGGGCAATCTACTTCTGTGGTGTTACTGCCTCGGAAACCCACACAACAACAACAAAATATTAATAGCAATAGCAGTTATTATTATATTGAGCCCCTACAATACATCAGGCACTTTCACACAGTATTTACTTTCCTCACAACTCTAGAAGTAGGCAATATATGCCTATTTTACAGGTAAGAACCTGAAGCTCAGAGAAGCTATATAGTCAGCAAGCCATAGAAGCTGAACTTGGATCCCTGTCCATCTGACTTTGGTGTCTAGAACCTTGACTACCATATGCTCTTGACTCATCCACAGAAGTAAGCTGTGGATGGAGTTGAATTTAGCAAGCATTTGTGGGTAGAGCTCTCTTACCTTGACCACATGGAGCTTGGGCAAGAGATTGCAGTCAGCCAGTGTCAGCTCATCTCCATCCAGGAACTTGCGACGGGACCCCTTGTCATCGTCCCCACAGGTATTGGCATCTACCTCCTCTGGCAAAGGGGTGCTTAGATAGTCATCCAGTTTCTTCAGTGCTTTGGTCAGGCCTCTCTCAAGGGCTAGCATGGAAGGGAAAAATAAGTGTTTTTAGTCAACCTTCTTGCCACTGGATATGACTACAGATCTTTAGAGTAGGTAGTTTATCCTGAATCCTGTCCCGTTTGTCACTGTGCCAGCTCCCTACCCCACACTGCAGAATACCTGGCAGCTATTAACATACTGCAGTAGAAGTGGATTAAATGGCCTGAAAAAGAAAACTCTAACAGAACAATGAGTATTACCTAATAATTTTTTAAAAAATAAAAAGCAATGAAACTGTTAGGCTTTGTACCAAAGATTTAATAGGCTTATCTCCGACGGGTCCAGTAACAGTAGTCAACTTTCACTTTTCTTTTTGCTTTGTCAACATTTTGCCAACATTCCACAATACACCCACATACTAATTTTGTAGAAAGAATTTATTTCTTACATTTTTCCTTACATTTATTTATTAAATAAGTAATATGTTTACAACATTTATGAAATAAATCAATAACTGCATAGTGGTCCTAAAACAGAGATTTGCACCAGGTTTTGTGAGAGCACTAACAATGTCTTGCTAACCCAACCTGAGAAGGGGAGAATGAACAGACATGGCTTCCAGGAGGACATGGCATAAGAAAGAGAGTATTCTGGTTGTGTGTTGCCCAGAAAACCAATGGGTATCAAGGAGGTATGTTTGGGCACATTATAGGGAAGAGCTGTCCAAAATGGAAGGGCAAGCACATTAGGCAGAGGGCTCCTTATCCCCAGGGATGTGCAATCACAGCTGGATGGAAACTTGTCCCAGATATGGCTCGAAGAATGAACCCCAAAGTAATATAATGAAGTACAAGACTTTTACAGTCTTGTCCCAATATTTATTAATCAAATAATTTGTGTAGACACAGAACAGAGCAAAACACCCAAAATAACAACTACAAGAAGTTGCTATCACTCAAAGTCATCTCATTCAGAATCTCACAGTCTATTCCAGTCATTGAACATTAACCTAGAAACTTCCCACCTGAGCTCAGGGAGCAGCTGTGGAGAAGACAGCTGGCTGGGCCATTAGCCAATGCACCTGTATCATTAGCCTCATCCCCAAGGGCTGTTTCTCTAGGTTCTGGTTTAGAGTGTGACACTGGGATAATGAGAGTCAGTCCTAATGTTAATTCCAGCAGATACAAGGGGGATGGTGACTTCTGGAGGAAGAGCCAAGGGAACAGAACTCTTGTTGAGATTTTCCCAAATGTGCCTCTGTTAGCCACTCCTCACATAACCCGCCTTTGTCTTTCCACAGAAGGCTTTTTGTTTGAGACAATGGAATTACACCAGCCCAAGATAAATCAATTGAGTGCTTACTGGAATGTTTGAAAACTGGCTGGAGGTTGGACATAGTTTCTCAATACTTCCTTCTCTGGTGTGGCATTGAACTTGCACTTCATCATCTGCTTTGTGTTTCCAGTTTGAGAGAATAGAGTGAGCAGGGCTGGGAAAAATGCTTATATTCCCTTTAGTAATTATGTAGACTGTCATGGGATGGCAAGCCCATTCAAGGGCAATGGAAGAGGCTGGATACGAAACAATATTTATGATGCTTTTTCACCCAGAAGCACTTGTGATTTGAGTTTGTTTGCTACCTCAAATTCCCCTTCCCCTTTCAGTTATGGAGTTTGTGACAAAAGCTTGATTAGTATGGGGAAAAGAAAACTCAAATAGGATGCAATGTCAAATTTTGGCCAGGCAACATCATCCAAGGAAAAGAAATCTATGATAAGAAGTAAGGCATTGCAAGTTCTAATTCTAAGTTCTAATGTCCATGGAGACTGCACAAGTCTGTCCCAGTCACCCACCCACTGGGAGACAATCCTGAAATTTGATGATGAGACCTAGACAGCAACTGAAGCTCCTTGGGTGGATAATTCTGGGTTAAACTATCCTTCTATGATGCCTTGAGATGGAAGGTTATAATTTAGTAATAGGTGTGGTTGTTGCATTATGTCATGAGTGTGATGTACCATGTCACATACCAAGTCAGCATGTTAGGAGGATATCCATGGTGTTTCTATTTCATCACTCTTCTTTGTGTATTTTCAGTCAGGAATGTGAAGATTGGAGCTGGTGATAATCATGGTAGAGAGAAGAGGAGATGAGACTAGTGGTGGTATCTGTGATCAGGGGAAGGTGGTGTTAATAGAGGCTTTGATAACTGGGCAGGGAAACAGCCCAGTGGCCTAGAGCTAACCCTGTGTTTGAATCTTGACCCTGCCTAGGATGGATTTATTGTGGCTCAGATGAGGCTTCAGCTTCAAGCCCCCATGATCGCATGGGTGCCTTCTAAGGCCCTGAACCTGATTATTTTATTCCTTATTTATACTGATTTATTGACTTCAGTTCGCAAAAATCTTGGATATGTTCCTGATTCTGCCACCTACTACTTAAGTTCCTCAACTTCATTGAACTTCCTTCAGTTTTCTCATCTCAGCAACAGGAATTTAGATATCTACCTCTCATAAGGAGTCCCTGGGTAGTACAAACAGTTAACATGCTTGGTTACTAATCAAAAGGATTGGAGTTCAAGTTCACCCAGAAATGCCTTGGAAGAAAAAGGCCTGGTGATGTGCTTCCAAAAAATCAGCCATTGAAAACTCTATGGAGCATAGTTCTACTCTGACACACATGGGTCATGAGTTGGAATCAACTCCATGACAACTAGACTGGTTAACCCTCATAAGACCACTGTGAAGATTAACTCAGATAATGTAAGGTAAATGCCTAACATAATGTCTACTTCATACTAGGACAACAATTAATGCAGCCATTGTTACTGAACATTCTCTGTCTGTCACCCCATACTCTTGGTCAGTATATTCCTTAAATTCCCAAGAGGGGCAGAGAATGAGAGAATGTAAGAAGGACCAATGCTGAGGCCTTACAAGGGGAAATCAACAGCTGGATCTTGGCTTCTCTTACTTCTTTAATGTACAGCCCCAGCCCTGTGCCGACACTCTCTTGGGATGCTGCTTGGTGGTAAGTCGTGTTGAGAGGCACAGCCAGAAGGAAATAAACACAACGTGCTTGTGTGCCAAAGCACTGCCACATGATCAAATCACAGATGCCAGCACCAGTGTAATCTCTGCCAGTTCGTTTCCCTCCTACCTGCCAACTCATTCCTTTGGCCCTGGCTCAATCTGGCATCCATAGAATTTAATTATCTCTTTCAGCTGACAGCACCCAGGTCATGAAATGGTTCATGTTGAACTTTCTGCAAATGTAAGAGTGAGGGGGATGTGAAAGAAACCAGAGTGACCAGAAGATGTTGAAAATGTCAAAACAAGGCTGCCCAAATTCCTTCAATCTTTGCATTGGAAACCCTCCTGCCAAAAGACTTTCTCTGAGTAGCAAGTCTGGGTCACCTTCAGACCACAGCAAATGAGCCTGGGGCTGAGGCACCCCCAGATTGCTCATATTCCAGGGACTTGATGGATACCCAGGCCTTTAACTGCTTTTTTCCCCTCCCTCCCCACGAAGATTTATTCTGTACCACACACAAATGCACTGGGTAAAATATGTGATGAGGAAACAAGAGGAATAGTTCATAAATATTCTCAGCCATATGCAAACAATCTCAAATTTATTTTTCTCTTTTTAAAAGAGGGGGAAGAAATCCACCCATTCCTTGATCACTTCCAGATTCATTGAGGTTGATATTACATAAGACCCAATATTGTTTTCTCATCGTAGAGAAATAATGACTTGGAAATGGCAATTTGAGCTAAGAAAATAATATACTCTTACCCGGGTATGGAGTCTGAATGGGGACCCAGGAGCCAAAACTCCAACCCAGCCTCCAATAAGCTCTTGCAAGAACAGTTCAGCCCTGGCTTGCTGGCGTGCTTGGATACTGCACACAGGGATACTGAGGAGCAAACAGCCATGCATTTGCCTTAGGGCTCCAACTCCTTAGAGAGGAGCAGGCGTGAAAGGGGTTTTTGAAAGAACCAAGACAGCTCTGTGGGTTGCTGAGCTCTGTTTCTCATGCATGGTTTTTCTTCTGCATCTAAACTTTTAGAGAGATAAGAACCAGAAGTTTACCTCTGACCAACGTCTGCAGCCTGGATGGGTGACTATTCAGCTCTCCAGGGGAGAAGGAAATTGTGGCTACTGGTTGACCTTGGCTGAACTTCCTCTATCCCACTATGTTCCTTTCATTGCTCTTACCCCAGCACCACCAAGGAAATACACTCACCCAATTTCCAAAATGGGCCAGGAAAGTTTATACCACCTGTCATTTAAATGCACAATGAACCAAATAAGATGGGAATCATTATTTATTTTCATTTAACAGATAAAGAAACTGAGTCTTAGTCTTACCCGAGGCACATGTGTGTGTCACACAGAGACACACAGAGCTGAGTCCTTCAACCATCCAAATTACCCCTGAAATGTACAGCGAAAATGTGTCTTATTTTGTTTTTAACTATTATGGTCTTCTACAGTAGCTGCTACCCCGCCGGGTAGTGGGAAAACAACAACAACTTTAATTTAGTCCATTCTGGATTATAACTAGTCCGATGCAATAATCTAAATAGTCTCTTTGGAGAATTCTCAATCTCTGTTGCATAAAAATACTTGTGTGAGGCAAACAGTTAAGGCTCTCTCAGCTGTTAACCGTAAGTTTGGAAGTTTGAATCCACCCAGAGCCCCTTCAGAAGAAAGGCCTGGTGATCTATTTCTGAAAAGCCATCAAGAGAACACATTGGAGTAGAGCCCAGTTCTGTTCTCACATGCATGAGGTTGCCATGAGTCAGCATCGACTCAGCAGCGGCTGGTTTATTATGATTATGATTATGATTATGATTATGATTATGATTATGATTATTAATGGTTTGATTTTAGCTGAAGTTCTTGGTACTTTCAGTGACCATGATTTGATCTAGAAGGAGTTATCTCTGAGTAGAGAACTTACCAGGACCTTTCAAATAATTTCTCAGTAACAAATGCCAACTCTGTCTGTACTTGGGGCAAATGTTGTCCT